TGGCATAACATAGTCCACAAAGACAATGCTGTACATCCTACTTTGGTAAGTAATAACTAGGATCTTAAAAGTAAGCAAGCATTTAAGGTGCAACTATCGTTCTTTTCATGCCCAAAGCAAAGAAGAGTGAAGAAAATCAAAGATGTAAGGAAACAATTAAACCAAATGATTAAAGGACTACATGAACTCCAGACTCCATGACCCTGAGTGAAGATCTAGATGGTGCCTGGCTACCACTGCTGCTGCTCTGAAAGTGATCACAATAGTAGGTCTGGATAGAGTGAGAGAAAAATGTAGAAGAAAACTCAAAATCATAAAAAAGATCAGGCTTACTGGTCTGATGAAGACTAGTGGACCCCCTCAGACCATGGCCCTTAGATATCCTTCAAGGGGAACCCTGAACTCAACTGCATGGCTCAACTTTCAACCAAATTATAAACAGGCCTAAAAGGTAACCAATAATACCAGTAAGGTATGCACTTATTAGAACAATCAACCATAGGAGATCAAAAGGGCAGCATTTGTTTAGGGTTAAAGCTAAGAAAGCAGAAAGGGATACGTAAGAAGGATAAAACAAACAAACAAACAAAAACGAACAAAAACTAAAACCAAACTCATTGCCATCGAGTTGGATCCAACTCATAGTGACCCCTCCTTGGGTTTCTGAAGCAGTATCACTATGGAAGTAGATTGCCCAATCTTCCTTCTAAGGAGTGGCTGATGGGTTTGAACCACCAACCTCTGGTTAGCAGTCAAATGCCTTAGGTACTGTGCCACCAGAGCTCTAAGGATAAAGGGAAATGGTAAACACAGGGAGGAAGTGAGAAGAGTTGTTACACTGTGGAGAATGCAATGAATGCTGCCCCCCGCCCCCAAAAAATGTGTACTAATTGTTGAATGGAAAACCAATTTTGTGTGTAAACCTTTACCCAAATCACACACAAGCACACAGGCACACATAAAAAGCTAAGCCCTGGCTATGTCAACAAACATCCCTGCCCATCTCCTTGAGGGTTGAGATGACCTACCCAAGTGAGCCTCCACTAGTCTGTCAGTGTGTTGTACTGTGGTGGTTTGCATGTTGCTGTGAGGCTGGAGGCTATGCCACCAGCATTTCAAATATCAGCAGGGTCACCAATGGTGGACAGGTTTCAGCAGAGGTTCCAGATTGAGATAAACTGGCAAGAAGGAAGGGGCCTTCCTCTTCTCAAAGAATTGGCCAGTGAAAACCTTAAGAATAATAGTGAAACACTGGCTGATATATTACTGGAAAACTTTATGAATACTTCAGAAACACTGTCTGATGTAGTGCCAGAAGATGAGCCCCTTAGGTCGGAAGAGACTCAAAATACAACTGAGGAAGAGCTGCCTCCTCAAAGTAAAGTCTACCTTAATGATGTAGATGGAGTAAAGCTTTCAGGACCTCCATTTACTGATGAGGAACAACTCAAAATGGGAAGAAACAGCTGCAAACATCCATTAATAATTAGAATGTGGAACGTATGAAGTATGAATCTAGAAAAATTGGAAGTTGTCAAAAATGAAATGTAAAGCATTAAGATTGATATTCTAGGCATTAGTAAGATGAAATGGACTGATTTGGGCCATTTTGAATCAGACAATAATATGATCTACTATGCTGGGAATGGCAAATTGAATAGGAATTGTGTGGCATTCATTGGCACAAAAAATCTTTCAAGATTTGTCCTGAAGTACAATGCTGTCATTGATAGGATAATATCCATATGCTTACCAAAAAAAGATCAGTTAATACTATAATTCAAATTTATGAACCAACTACTAAAGCCAAAGATGAAAAAACTGAAGATTTTTATCAACTTCTGCAATCTGGAATTGACCAAATATGCAATCAAGATGTATTGCTTATTACTGATGACTAGAATCCAAAAGTTGGAAACAAAGAAGAATCACCAGTAGCTGGAAAATATGGCCTTGGTGATAGAAATGATGCTGGAGAATGCATGATAAAATTTTGTGAGATCAATGGCTTACTCATTGCAAATACCTTTTTTCAATAATATAAACGGTGGCTGTATATGTGGACCTTGCCAGATGGAATATACAGTAATCAAATCGACTACACCTGCACAAAGAGGCAATGGAGAAGCTCAATATCTTCAGCCAAGACAAGGCCAGGAGCTGACTGTGGAACAGGCCATCAAGTGCTCATATTCAAGTTTAAGTTGAACCTGAAGACAATGAAAACAAATCCACAAGAGCCAAAATATGAGCTTGATTATATCCCACCTGAATTTAGAGACCATCTGAAGAATAGATTTGATGTACTGAACACTAATGACTGAAAACCAGATGAAATCAAGACCAAAGAAAGCAAAATGTCTTTAAAAAGACAGGAAAGGAAGAAAAGACCAAAATGGATGTCAGGAGAGACTCTGAAACTTCCTGTTGAATGAAGAGTAGTAAAGTGAATGGAAGAGATGACAAGATAAAAGAGCTGAATGGAAGATTTCAAAGACCAGCTTGAGAAGACAAAGTCAATTTAAAAAAACAAAACAAACTCACTGCCATTGAGTTGATTCTGAGTCATAGTGAGCCCCAATGGGTTCTCAAGGCAGTAAATCTTTATGGAAGTAGATCACTCAGTTTTCCCTTAGCAGAGTGGCTGGTAGCTTTGAACTGCCAACCTTCAGATCAGCAGTCAAATGCCTTAGGCACTATGCCACGAGAGCTCTTTACAAAGTCAACTTTAAGTCTTTGTTTCTTCACAGAAGTCTAAAGTCTTTTGTGGAAAGCAGTAGATACACATTACTATTTGTTTAGTCTCTAGGATTAGGGTCAGTCCCACAAGTCTGATTCACTCAGCATTCATGGATGAAATCTATCACCTGGCTGAAAACCAGCCCAGAGCTACAGGCTCCTCTGATGCCACCTCATTAGCAGACCTCTCTCTACTGCTGACTTCTCTCTTCAAATGAAGCAGTCAAATTCCCAGGGCCAGCTCTAGGTGTCCTCCACCCCCTGATCTATTTGCTCAGAGCCCTGCCTTACCTTTGTAGCTATTCAGTGACCCAACCTCCCCAGCCTGTGATTGCCCAGAGGTGCTGCAGCTGACTTGCCTGAGATTAGAGCCCCACCCTCCTGTTGTGCCTGCTTGGTGGCCTAACCTCTCTGCCCTCTGATTTTACTAGTACAACTGGCGCATGCGTTTGGCCACATGAATTCTCACCTTCTTGGTGCCTTCTACAGACTAAAGGGACAGGAAGTACATCATAAAGTAACTGCCTATATCCTTCTTATGTCCATATCCCGAAGACAGTAAACAACTCAAGAAGTAGCTGATACCACTTTTTATTGACTAAAACAGGAACAGAACAGGTACACCATTGGCTGGGTGCATTTGGAAAGCAATGAAAAGAAAGGAGCAGAGTTAGAGCCACTTAAGCTATTCCAAAATTATCCAAGAAGTCTTCAATATTCTTCTGGTGCTGGCACACTATGGCGACTTCACCAAGGCCTTGCCAGGGTGGGAACACCAATCTAAGGGCAGAGATGTCCAATGGAGGTAACTGCGCTCTAAAGTGGCGTGATAAGAGGCAATCAATGCAGCCATCTATAAGACAGCCTTCTATGCATTCTGGCAGCTGGATTTCATCAAGGAGGTTTTGCCCAGCCAAGGAACAGTATATATTTGGAAAGAGCAGAGGGCTTTCTGTGAAGGGAAAAGAAAAGGGCAGTCAGAGAAGTTACAGTTAAAGAGGAAAATGTCCCAATCATTAGATGTATAAGTGCAGGGTGAGGAATAATGGTGGTGGGACACTTGGCCCCTCCTCCTCTAGGTTCCAGAATACTCTGGAACATCCCCTCTCACAACCACTCTCATTATTCTAAGTAAAGGAGCTATTCCTCTGTGTTCAAGGAATTCCACCCACCCTGTCCCAGTACAGCCCTGTAAGAGCAGCCCATAGGCGTCCATATGAGGGGAGTTTCTGTGGCCTAGGGGTAGAGGACAGGGAAAGCATTCCCTCCACCTTCAGTGTCTGTTGTTGTTGTTATGTGCCCCCAAGTCAGCCTCGACTCATAGCGACCCCTCCTTGGGTTTCCGAGGCAATATCACTACAGAAGTAGATTGCCCAACCTTCCTTCCGAGGAGTGGCTGGTGGGTTTGAACCGGCAGCCTTCTGGTTAGAAGTCAAGTGCCTTCAGTGTCTGGGTCAGTCTTATACAGGACCAGATGAAGAACCCAGGGGATAGACGGGGACTTATGTCCACAAAATTACCCCTGAAAAAGGAAGGACTGACAAGAGGGAAGTACAGCTCTTTCCAAGAGGAAAAGAAGCTGGCATTTATTCAGTGAGTGAGGGCAGAGCAGAGCCACAGGGTCAGGGCTTAGGTTGCTCACTCACAGGCCTCCAAATATCTGCTGATCTTCTCAGCATGGCTGTAGCCTGTGTGAGCCAAAGCATAGCCCTTTCTCTCTCAGCAGGTGCTACCTCAGCAGCTGCTACCTCCTGTCCAGCAGGCAACACTCTAAATACATGCAGTGCTTTCCTAACCATGCTCTAATTCTCAAGCTACAATCCCTCCCTTACGAATTCATGTTAATAATATATCCGCAAGAGTTTACACAGGCACACTGCTCCCCCACACACATATGCAACCACACACATGTGCACCTACATCCACATACCTACACTCTCCCACATACACAGGTGTGTATACACATGCACTCCACCTCCCACCTCTCTCCTATGCACTTTCCCCTTCCCCATATAAGGCTCATACCTTCTTCAGGTGTGGCTGGTCATGGAAGGGACAAGTGGCCAAGTTGGGCTGGGACTTGGTACATGTTGTTCGTCCAATCTCCACATCCAAGAAGTAGTTGATCCCAGACACGATCTATGCACGTGAGAGAGTAGGGTTTGTTTCCAGCACTCCTTATCAATCTCGTCCACAGTTCATTCACTGTTACTAAGTCAATTACTAAGAAATCAGCATGTTCTTTAAGGCCTCCGGGCCAGCACTGATGTGCTGCTGGAACTGTCACCACAAAGCACAAAAACTACCCTCCTTCTGACTACAGGAGATGCAGCTGCCACCTCCTGATAATTAGTTTATGGAGCAATATGCATGACTTCACAAGGTCTCAGGCAGCCAAGAAGAAACATGGAAGGGGAAGTCAGGGACTGAGTGCCCATTAACTGGATTGGAGAATGGAAGATGTAGGTAAACAATCCCAGGAGCCCACAGGCAAGGGCTAAAGCACAAAGTGATCCTTCTGCCATCACCAAAGATAAAGTTCTGCTAACGCTGGCTATGGAGGCAGAGACACTGGGTCTAATTTTAGGAAGACTGTTATTTAAGCTAACTTCCAATTACTGACATTTTTCCCAGAGGATCTCATTCCTATATTTAACAGATGTATGTATTCCCTCTTCTAAAATCAGGAAATGAGATGCTTCACACACCAAGTTTTTAGGTGTATAAAGACCGCTCCTCATAATCCTTCCATTTTACATGTTATTTTCAATGCAAATGTTTCTAAAGTATTTTACACAACTGCTTATCTTTTACATTTGAGATTACAGTATACAATTGAAGCATGTCCACATACCAGGATGAGAAATCTGGTGACCAGAGGTCCAGACACGTACGTGACACCCCCAACAACCCTGTGTTAGTTTTTCCATCTCTAAATGGCACATGTTTGTTGTTGTTATGTGCCGTTGAGTCGGCCCCGACTCATAGCAACCCCTCCTTGGGTTTCCGAGGCAGTATCACTATGGAAGTAGGATTGCCCAACCTTCCTTCTGAGGAGTGGCTGGTGGGTTTGAACCTCCAGCCGTCTGGTTAGCAGGCAAGTGTCTTAGCCACTATGCTACCAGAGCTCCTGCACATGTTTAGGTGTGATGATTTATAAAGCTCATTCTTCGCTCCAAGTTAGTGTCATGTTACTCAAGGGGCAGGTCAGCAGGGACTATCCAGTCCAACAGGGGCAGTGCCAGCCCATTGTTAGAGAGTCTGGTCTTGACGCCTCAATTTTTAGCTTTTAAGTGTTGGCATCCCATGCAACATGTTTGCTGTGTTGCTGCGCCCTGCTCTGCAAATGGGGTGCAGGTCCTCAGGTCTGAATTCTAGCCTTTCTTCAAGGATAAACTCAAGTCCCAGAAGCCCTTCCTCTATGCTCCCCTCTACAACTCCTCCCATCTGGTCACAGGCCTCACTACATAGCAAGCAGCAAAAGCAGGGGTCAGTCAAGCCCATTTCAGGGTGGGGAATGTATGAGGCTCCTCCCAGGGTGAAGAGAAGCACTTTCCAGAGGCCTTTCTTCTGGAATTTCTGAAGCACATTTTGATTCCTATGCAAGACATGAGGTTCTGGAGTTAACTCAGTGGTGTCTGCTAGGAACCTCCTGGCACTCAGGACCATGGTGAGGGGCCAAGCCCCAGGAGGTATGATTGTTAGAGGTGACAAGGCTCCCAGAGAGCTCAGCTCTAACACCTCCATTGCAAAGAAATGGAGGCTTGGTCAGTTCTGGTGGCACAGCTGAGAGGATATACATGGAATCTGATCCTGAGGAAACATCAGACCAGCCCAAACCGAGTTCACAAACTAGCTTAATTCTTCAGAAATAAGATCATCAAGCAAAGACTGAGGAGGAACTGTTTCAGATGAAAGGAGGCTGAAAAGACAGGCAAGTGGCTCAGTGCATTCGTGATGGGGAGTGCCTTTTGCTAGAAAGGTGTTATTGGGACAATTTGTTGTTGTTGTTGGTAGGTGTCATCGAGTTGTGTCTGATTCATAGCGACCCTATACAAAGGAAAACGAAACAATGCCCACTCCCGCACCAGCTACACTATCCCTGCTATATTTGCGCCCATTGTCGCAGCCACTGTGTCAATCCATCTCATTGAGGGGGACAATTTAAGGAAATCTAAATAAGATATGCACGTTGGATAATGGTGTGTATCTGTGTTAACTTTCTGGTTTTCAAAATTATATTGAGGCTATGTAAGAGAATAAGAGCTCTGGTAGCGTAGTGCCTAAGGCATCTGACTGCTCACCAGAAGGCTGGCGGTTGAAACCCACCAGCCACTCCTCGGAAGGAAGATGGGGCAATCTACTTCCGTAGTGATACTGCCTCGCAAACCCAAGGAGGGGCCGCTATGAGTCAGGTCTGACTCCAAGGCACATAACAACAACATGTAAGAGAAAGCCCTTGTTTTTAGGGCACATGCACTGAATGGTTTACTCTCAAACCCTTCAGAAAAAGAAACGTATATAGATATATACACCCATGTTGTTGTTGTTGTTATGTGCCGTCAATCGGACCTGACCCATAGTGAGCCTTCTTTGGGTTTCCAAGGCAGTATCACTACAGAAGTAGATTGCCCAACCTTCCTTCCCAGAAGTGGCTGGTGGGTTTGAACCGCCAGCCTTCTGGTGAGCAGTCAAGTGCCTTAGACAGTATGCTACCAGAGGTCCTTTATACACCCATGCACACATGTATATTGGGAAAGAGGTGGGTAAAGCAAGTATAGTAAAATATCAACATTTGAGGAACCCAAGTGAAAGAGCTACTGAGATTCTTTGTACTAATTTTGCAACTGTTGCGCAAACCAAGAATTATGTCCAAATAAAAAGGAAAAAAAAAATAAACTTTTAAGAATCATTAAGTGGCAGAACTAAACTGGGCTGTCTTTCCTTCTCCCCTGGTCATTTCACAAGAGGCGTGGGGTGGGGCTAAGCAAGAATCAGGCCCTGTCCCTGAAGCCAAGGGGCACTCTATGCTTAAAATAGAAATGAAAGGGCGCCAGCCAAAAGTGCCCAACCCGGTTTAGAGGGAAGGCAGTAGTCTAGCAGTGACACCATGCTAAAGACTGTGGGTCCACAAAGGAAACTGCCCTAGGTGAGAAGCTGTGGGCACGTCTGAGAGGGCCGCGATCTAACGCTCCAAACTGCAGGCTGCAGTATAGAGGTTTCCTCTGCACAGAGGCAGCGGCGGTACCGAGAGTACACAATGGTGGCTCTTGGGGAGGGGCTGGGCCTAGAGAAAGGGGCGCTCCAGGACGGGGCTAGGACTGAGAGGGTACTGCTTAAAGTCACCGAAGAGAGGGCACTGGGGGAGGAACCTGGGACCATGAGAGGAAAGTGCGCTCGCGGAAAGGCCTGAGATCCCTGGTTGAAGAGGCTCTGAAGGGGTCCGGGACCAGAGGGGTTAATATGGGCAGGGCGCAATACTCCAGGCGAGGCGGACGGACAGGCTAAGGTCACTGTGGGGAGGGATCCCGGCAAAAACTTATGTCAAGCCTCATAATGGAGTTACGGCTCCCGCTGCGGACCATAGCCTTCCACAACTCCCAACTACTTTAGAATCTAAGGTCTAATACACTCCTGACTAAGAATAGCTGGGGCTTTCCGGCGGCTTAGAAAAACCGGCTGGCAGACAGCCTGAGGCGAAAATGTGGGCAGTCCCCCCCAACAGGCCCCACCCAGCACTGCCCTGCCCCGCTCCGTCCCACCCGCGAGTAAGCAAGCAGGCGGCGAACCCCGCGCTCGGGACTCGGGGGACAACAGGCCCACTTCTGCGCTCAGGCCAGCCAGCCAGACGCACCTGTTTGCGAGCGCGAACCACTTGCACCACGCGGCTGTGGAACTTGTCGTTGCTCGCCTTGTTGTATTCGCTGAGGGCGAAGTCCACCGCGCGCTGTACGCCCTCCTCCGTCGCGTCTGCGTCCACGATGCCGCCCAGCAGGCGCGGGGGCTTGGCAGAGTTCGTGGCGCTCGCCAGGCTCAGCATCCCGGCTAGGGCCACTGCGGCCAGCAGGAGCAGCGAGCTACGCAGGGTCGCGGCCATGGCTGGCTGGAGCTTTACAGCGACCCGGCAGAAGGAAAACGCTAGAGTACAGACCAGGTCGAGAAACGACTGCGAAACTCCACTCCCCGACCGCCGGGGTGTCTATATCGGCCTGCCTCCAGGAAGACCGCCCTCTGCCCTCCTCTTCCTGGGTGGCCACCCATCCAGCCCCGCCCCGCCTGTCTGGCGCCCCCTGCAGAGCTCATCCTCCGTTTCGCCTCTTTGTTCCCCTCCTCTTCCTACTCCCAGCTTCTGCCCTGCTCCTTGGCCCTTTCACATTTTCTACTCCTCTCCTCCTTTCCTACTCCTCTCCTCCTTTTCTAGTCCTCTCCTCCCTTCTCTCCTCCATTCCCTTTCTCTCCCTTTTCCCCTGCCCTTATTTTTTGGTTCCTCTTCTACTTTCCTTGGGTCACCCCTCTCAAGTGCCTGGCAAAGCAGTGTGACCTCTGAATTCTGTCTCCTCTTAGGAGGGAAAGACAGGTATCCTTCCACCTGAGTGTATTAGACATTAGATTCTAAAGCACTTGGGGTTGCGAAAGCCTGTCTTCTGCAGTGGGAGCCCAACTCCATTATGAGGCTTGATAGAATTTCAGATTCCATTTGGGTTCTTTCTCACCATTAAACCAGCATTGTGACTAAGCATAGGCAAGTTCCAGACAAACCTAGGGAGGGGCAGTTTGTCTTCAGAAAAAGTATGGTTGAAAGTAGATTATACTTTCACAAAGGACTAGGGAACTTGCCTGAGAGTGCCCTTTTCGAATTTAAACTAAAGTTGGGGTCTTGGTATTGTTTAGTGGCCATCTTGTGGCTAAGACTCAGGCTGCATAGTCATGAGCAGTAGTAGCCTGTTTGGACAACCAACTAGCCAGGTAGGCAAAGCCCCAAAACCAATCCTATAACCCTTTCCTATCTTCACATTCCAATCATGATATTTTCCTTCCTTCTGTAGTCCTGCCTGCAACAGTGACAAATCTACCGCCAACCATGATTTTATGATGATTCTCCTTTTTTAAATAAATCACGTATAATTAGCCACATGGCCATGACTCAGTGGACTCCATACAGCTTTCTCATGCTGATGTTTTCCCTCATCCAGGATGATTGTTTTTGTTCTGTGCAAGGCTTAACAAAAGTGTCTCTATTGAATGTGTTTGAATCTGGGGTCTCTTTTCCCCTAATACAGTGTTCAAAGGTTTCTGAAGGTCAGGGTCTATGAAGTAAGTTTTTGATTGCTGTCTAGTGAGCCCCTGGAGCAGGGGTATGATTTCAGAGTTTCAGGAAGGCCCTGGACTCTGTTTTAAATTAACTTTTATTTGTTGAAAGGTTACTGAAATCTCTTTCTCAATAGGTTTTGATTTCTTTACTTATTCAATCAACAAATGTTCCTTGGGCTTATCCCCTCGGCCAGGTAGTCTAGGCCTGGGATGGAGGTGGGTGAGTGAGACTTGGACCTGGCATTGTTGAGCTGTAGAGCAGCCCTACCCAGTAGATAAGTATCTCACACCCCATATGTAATTCTAAATTATCTAGTAGCCATAAAAAAGAAAATAGTGAAAAGGAATACAAGATCTATTTTGGAAGTGGAATGCTCCTTAGAAACGAGAAAGGTCAAATTTCCTCTTACTTGCTTTGGTCATGTTTTCAGGTGGGATCTGTCCTTGGAGAAGGATTTCACATGCTTTGGTCATGTTGTCACATGGACTCAGTCCCTGGACAAGGATATCATGCTTAGTATAGTGGAGGGTCAGCAAAAAAAGGGACATGGATTGACATGGATTGACACAGTGGTTACAACAATGGGCTTAGCATAGTAATGATTGTGGGAATGGCCCAGGACTGGGCCTTGTTTTGTTATGTTGTACATAGAATTGCTATAAGTTGGAACTGACACCTAAAAACAAAATATTTTATTTAATCCCATATAGCCAAAATACTATCATCTCAACATGTAATCAATATACAAATGGATATTTCAAAACAAAACAAAACAAAACTCTCTGCCATAGAGTTGATTCCGACTTACAGTGAATCACACTGGGTTTCTGAAGTGATACATCTTTATGGCAGTAGATTGCCACATCTTCCTTCTGAGGAGTGGCTGGTGGGTTTGAACCGCAAGCCTTCTGGTTAGCAGGCAAGTGCCTTAGCCACTATGCTACCAGAGCTTGTGGGGTAAGGTAGTGATCAATAATTAAGATCAAGGCGATAGCTTACTGCTGAAAATGAAATAAAAAGGGTGATAAAGAGGGAGAGTGTCACTTGACCCTAGTTTGGGGGGCTTTTCTGAGAAGACATTTAAAATAAGAAGCCCTGACAAGACCAAGGAAAGGGAGCTCCAGGCTGAGGGCATAGTGAATGCAAAGGCCATAAGGTGTGTCTGGACTGGCCTGATCTTGGAACAGGAAGCTACTGGAAGGCATTTAAGAGGGAAAGGATAAGATCTGGAATCTCACCTTGGCAGCTATGTGGACAATAACCTGTGGGGTACAAGGACACCGTACCAGGCAGTGAGAGAGGAGAGAAAAGGAAGAATATGGGCACCTGAAGGAATGAGTATCTGAGCACTTGGGTTTATATTGCCTTTCCAGCCACATTGCTGGCTCTGGTCCTCTGTCTACCGCTTAGAAAACTTACCTGGTTTTTAAAAAGTCAACTTAAATTATGTGTAATTTACATACAATAAAATGCCCTGTTTTATTCATCCAGCCTGAGGAATTTTAACAAATATATACACAAGTAGTACTTTCCATCAAGATATAGAATATTTCCATTACCTCAGAAAGTTTTCTTGTGCCCGTTGGTACCTGTAGACTGGATTTTTTTTTTTTTTTTTGCTGTCATAGAACTTTCCACACTGGAGTCATGCAGTGTGAATGCCTCAGTGTCTGGCTTCTTTCACTCAGCATCTTGTTTTTGTATTTCCCAATATTGTTGCATTAACTCAGTTGTTAGTTCTCTTTCTCATCAGACTGAAAGGATGTGGTCAACTGAGTACAATACCTGGACCTATGCATACCTGGGTGGAATAGGCTCCAGGGCAGGGGAGGATGCAAGGCTGTTTTGAATAGATAGTTTGCTTGGTTTCTCCTCTAACCCTATCCTCCATCTCTTCAGTGGACCCTATGAAAAATGACCTTATAGTGAAGGTGACAGGCTTTGCCAGGAACACTGGAGGTCTATGAGCTCTTGAAAGACACTCAGAGGAACTCTCTCAGAGTGGTCTGGGTGATGGTCAGCACCTGCTCAAACCTGATGTGATCTCGGTTCTAGGTGATGTGTGGGGCTGAATCATTAGGACTCTAGCGCATGGAACAGTAGTAACAATGAGTGGCCTGAGGCCCTGTTAGCACTAACCACTGTGATTTTGAGCCTCTAGAACAACGGTGTCACTAGGGTTGGTGTCACCCAGTGCAATAAAGCATGGTGTCACCCCCTTCCCCACAATGGTCCTCCTGCTATACCAGACCATATAGAATCCTTAGTAATGTTTATTATCAATTTTAATCATAGAATAATGTATGATAAATATAGTTGTAAATTGCTTAAATAAAATCTTTCTTAAATTATACTCAAAATTGTCTAACAACAGCATTGTTTTAAAAATCTTACTACTTTGAATGATAACATTTTTAGTTACAACATAGTTAATAACTGAGTGAAGCATTTTTTTATTTTCCTTTAATTTCTACTTCATTCTCAAAAAAGTTATTGGTGTAATTATTGATATTGTAGTTAAACCACCAGAAAATTTGACAAAATCAGTTACAAAAAAACATTGGCAGAAAAGACAACAGCAGCACATACTTGTAGCTGGTGCAGATCAAACCATGTGATTCAAAGCATCATTGTAATTGGGTAATAATGACAGCTCTGATAAGAGTGCATTGTTGTTGTTAGGTGCCCTCCAGTTGGCTCTGAATCATAGCGACCCTACGTACAATAGAATAAAACACTGCCCAGTCTTGTGTCAGCCTCACACAATCCTTTCTATACCTGAGCTCATCGTGACAGCCACTGTGTCAGTCCATCTCCTTGAGGGCCTTCACCTTCTTAGCTGACCTTCCACTTTACCAAGCATGATATCTTTCTCCAGGGAATAGTCCCTTCTGACAACATGACCAAAGCAGGTGAGACAAAGTCTGGCCATTCTCATTTCTAAGGAACATTCTGGCTGCTCTTCTTTCAGGGCAGATATGTTAGTTCTTTTAGTAGTCCATGGTGCTTTCAGTATTTATCACCAACACCACAACTCAAAACAATCAACTCTTCTTTGTTTATCCTTGTTCATTGTCAAGCTCTCACATGCATATGAATTGACTGAAAATACCATGGTTTGGGTTAGGTGCACCTGAGTCCTCAAGGAGACATCTTTGCTCTTCAGCACTTTAAAGAGGTCTTTTGCAGCAGATTTGCCCAGTGCAATACGTCATCTGAGGTCTTGACTGCTGCTTCCATTGGTGTTGATTGTGGAACCAAGTAATATGAAATCGTTAACAGCTTCAATCTTTTCTCCATTTATTGTGATGCTGCTTCTTGGTCCAGTTGTAAGGATTTTCATTTTCTTTGTGTTGAGATGTAATCCATACTGCAGACTGAAGTCTTTAATCTTCATCAGTAGTACTTCAAGTCATCCTCACTTTCGGCAAACAAAGTTGTGTCATCTGCAGATTGTTAACGAGTCTTCCTCCAATCCTTATGCCACATTTTTCTTCATATGGTCCAATTTCTCATATTATTTGTTCAGCCTACAGATTGAATAAGTATGGTCAAAGGATACAACCCTGACACACACTCTTGCTGATTTTAAACCATGCATTATCCCCTTGTTCTGTTCGAACGACCGCCTCCTGGTAGATATACAGGTTCCTCATGAGTGCACTTAAGTGTTCTGGAATTCTCATTCTTCTCAATGTTATCCATAATTTGTTATGATCCACACATCAAATACTTTTCATAGTCAATAAAACACAAGTAAACATCCTTTTGATATTCTTTGCTTT